GCAACAGCTACAGCAACAACAAAGACAACAGCAACACCAATAATGAGAGAGTGTCGCTGTTGTCACCATACCCATCATAGTCGTAATAGTTCCCGTGATTCCAATAACCGCCCCCGTAGTGGAAGAGTGTTAGAAGCTGCGTAGCCGTCCCATAGTTGTTCATATTGCTGATACACTTCTCAGCGTTCACTCTGCATCTCTCTTCTGATGGAATATTCCCTCGACCCTGATCAACAGCGCGTGTTCGACCACATAACTGATCAAGTGCGCGAATATCACCAGCAGCAACAATATCACTATATCACTGGTTTTCCTGGTACGGGAAAATCATTCCTCACACGAGCTATCATCTCTAACCTCGAAGCTGATCATACGGTCGTAACACTTTCTTGGTATGGGTTGGCGGCAAGGAATTTGGGAGTTGGGGCTAACACGATTATGTCTTACTTTGGGTTGACGTTCTCCAACAGTGGGTTGGTGGCAGACAATAGTTACCTGAGATGTACGCAAGTAACTATGGCGCGAATGATCCGATACTTACGGGATCACGGTTCCGAAATAACGAGGTCCCGCAAGCTGGTCATCATACTTGATGAAGTGGGAGCTCTGCACGATACGATCATGGATGCCATGGCGGGTGCAGTTGCGGAGCTAAGGCGGCCGAGACTGGAGAGAATGACGGATAAGCTCGATAATCCCTTCGGGGACGCCGCCGTGCTGATGATCGGGGATCCTTGCCAAACCGGGAGGGTAGAACTCACCTCGAATTCAGCTGAATACCCTTCTGAAGTCTATCCCACCAGAGAGTTCTGGCAAGCTGCTTCGTGGAAATCAATGTCCCCCACTGTGTACTTCTTGCATAACGTTCACAGAGGCGGAGATCAGGGATACCTGGGACTTCTGAGAGAGATACGAGCAGCTCCAAGAATGCGGCCAGGATTACCCCAATTCTCCCACGAAGCCATGGAGGTGTTACAATCAATACGGGATAGGGATGCTGGGAAACAGCCGCCAAGGTAGACCAAATTTGTTCCACAGTCAGCTCATATTGATGGACGCATGATAAATATGATATTTCTCATCAGGCTCAGGCTCTGAAGTTGCTTGATCACTCTTATCAGATACGAACATACCGTTGTGTGCTTCACCAATGCCGAAGTGGACCGCTACAACGAGCAATATCTTGCACAGCTCGAGGGAGAAGTCCACGAGCTTGTCGCCATCGATGCCGAAGGCTCGAGAAACTCGTCGTCCCCTCCATCCGCTGTGTCGAAGGACTTCCTGAAGTCGGTCTCCAGGCTTGGGTTCAAAGAACGGGTCTACCTGAAGGTCAACTGTAGAGTTATGGCTACTGTGAACAGTGCAAGCCGTACCGGCAAAGCGAAGTTTTATAACGGCATGATGGGGAGAGTGGTGCGAATCTATCGAGATGTGAACGGTGAACCTGTCGTGGTGGTGAAATTTGATGGGGTGGGAGAGTCTCTGCATGTAGCGCGTGAGAAGCTAACCATTCGCAACTACGATGGCTCTGTTCGCTTCGAGAGACGGCAAATCCCTTTAGTGCCATGCTACGCTGTGACAGCCCATAAACTCATAGGCACCAACTTGCCAGGTTTATGGGTTCTTCTACCGAATAGGAATGGCAGGGTTGATGGGGACATCCAAGACTTCTGGCAATCTCCCTGGCTTCAAGGGGTCGTCTACACCGTGCTCAGTCGCACGGGTAATCGCCAGAATGTCAGGATCTTCCCACTCCGCCGTACTCATGAATCATGAGTCATGATGCAAGCCTCCTACATCCAATCTTCTCCATGAGTTCGGCGGCGTTAGCCTTTGACGCTGAGTGTAGCGAGAAGGACTGGCTGAAGTCAACAGTCTCCGAGGCATCTGCAGAAAATGTCGCAGCTGCAGCTGCAGCAGCACAACAGACTGACACCCTAGGCTCACTCAGTCAGACTTTGAGGCAGGTAGCTGGTACTATGCAAGATCTTGCGAGCGAGTTGCGATCGCTGAAGTCCAAGTCCATGGTCATGCAACACTTTACCACCAAAAGAAGGACTTCAGTCTCAGGTAAACTCTGGATAAATGAGCGATCTATCTGCACACGATACACCTCTCTCAGGTGACCCCATCAACCCTGTCTTCTTCTGCGCGCAGCGGCCGAATCTAGAGCAGAAGATCGACGCATTGCCGGTCAACATTCAGGTCAAGTTCTACGATATATTGGATGAGAGGCTCAACTTGACACATGCTCGGGCAACCGACGAGCAAGTCATGGAGCTACTAACCGACGTCGCCAAAGAAGCTAGTCCTGTGACGCCTATCAACTCTAACATCGAGTCCTCTACCGAATATTTTCACACAGTTAGGACTTCCCCTACTTCACACTGTGGTCATGGCGAACCTGAGAGATGTCACAGTCCTTCTGAAGTCGAGCCTCCCCATAACCTACCGAGCTCAGCCGAAGAAGATAACTCCCTACGAGACGAGGACTTCTCGCTGGACTCTTTCTCTACAGACGACGATAGCGATATGGACGAGGAATCTTCTGATGAGCCTCTCGAGTTGCCTCCTCGAGACGACGATCCTCCGGCTTCCGAGCCTGAGTATGGCGATGAGCCATTCACTGTCTTCGAGGGGAACATCTTCGACGTCGTTTCGGAATACCTGAAATCGAAACCTCATTATCGATTGGTCAACGGCTGTATCGAGGAGCTCAAGACAAAGCGGAAGACTTGCTACTTGGAATGTCGTAGGACGGTGTCATCTCGGAACGAGGGACGGGAAGCATCGAAGGGTGCCAAGCCAGATTGGCGGCTCTGGCCTGCCTTCACCTGTCATCTGAGGAGGATCAAGGTTCGGCAAAATGGACCCTTATGTCATATGTATCCACTGCGAGGAGTTACGGCCACCAATGAGGACTGGAGAGAGCACTCACATTTTCCGGGCACTGAAGATTGCAGAAGTGCGAGGATCCCTCCAGATATTCTCGATGACTGGCAAATTTGGCTCGCTGAACAGCCATGCATACCTACAGCACAGTTGAAGACGAAGTCTCGCCAGAAGTGTATTGATGGACAATACTCTACCACTTCCATAGAGTTCATCACGCAGAAGGGACTCGACAACTTCGAGGCTGTGAGGTCTGCACTGCGCTCAATAAAAAAATCGAGAGAGTGCGGGTTGAGTGTGGAAGCATTCACGAGAGAGCTGCGTGAGTTGGCTTGTGACGCAGCAGAGCTCGAGGGACGAGTTGCAGACATCATACGTAGCATTGATGCTGTCGAAGCAGGTAGTGGTTCCTAAAAAATCCAACTGCTATACAGCAATTCTAGATCAGTCAAACGCAGAACAGCTCTATGAGGATTCCCTTAGATTAGTCCGAAAAGAACAATTCATGCGCTGATTTCAGATTGCGATAACCGCCTGAATTATCGAATTTCGAGAGGGTAGGCAGACTGTCTAAGGCAATTCAATATTCAATGAAAAATCAGCAGAACTGAGATTCTAGGTTCGTGAAAAATCTGCTCCGGCTTGAAACGTACAAGTTGACTAGAAAATGTTTCCGCAATTTCAGTTTGAGAGTAACAAACTTACCTCAATAGGTACCCATTCTGAAGAAGATCTGGTCAGAGCGAGGAGTGCTGACCGATGCCTGGTTGTCGGTGAAATCTTGTGCTCGCCTCAGCCAGCTCAACGTAATTCATCAAGGCGATCCGTACGAGCTTTCTCGGCTGTTGTAACGTCACCCAGGATGCTGAGAAATATGAGAGATTTGCAGACGCTTGGTATTGATGCCACATTCAATCTGACTCACGCAGATCTGGTACTTGGTACTGTATGCTCGGTGCCACGAACTTCCACTGCGCAACCAATCGCACTGATTGTGATGACGAAGGAATCCACGGAGTGCGTCGCGCATGGCCTTAAACAGCTGAATGCCGCCGTCGATGCTCTAAACTTCCATAATGCGGTTCCTCACGAAGTAGTCATGGATGGTAGCGACGCCATACATTCGGCTGTCATGACGCAGTACACCATTGCTGGGGAGCAACCTCGATGTATCAGCTGTTTCTTCCATGTAATCAAGAAGGCCAAAGAATCTAAGGGAAAAGCACGGCTTGGGAGAGCTTTGTGGAGTGAGCTGAAGAGTGACTTACGTTTGATGGGGAGTGCACCGACGAGAGCAGAGTGGCTAAACTTGCGAGATGCATTCATGAAGCATTGGACATCAGGTGGGCACATAATTTGAGTAGACGATGAATGAACTTTCGTGCCTTTATCATCATAAAATATTGGATAATACTTAGATTCCGCACGTACCATTCGTAGTCCATCGGATGGACTCCATCCTAGGCGAGTGATTTCTATCCCTATTCAGATCGTACTCAGCACTTGCAGGCCAGTGATCGGGATGCCATCCAGGCTTTCTTGACCGACTTCGCTGGTTACCTCGATGTTTCAGCTTGGCGCAGTTGGTGGGGGAGTTATAGTAGCGAAATTTGCGGTGCACGCACTAACAACTGCGTGGAACGCTACAATAAGGAGCTCAAGAAGCACTTCCTACCTGCAAGGTGTCGCTTATCCCTTCATGAATTCGTAACTTTTCTCAAGAGTGGGGGTGACTGGGCTGCAATATCACAGTATGGCCGAGGAGCGGTGAGAGGCCAGGCGAAACCCGCGGCTCGGCAGAGAGCAGTGGACCACTTCCTACATGAGAGCTACTGTCAAATACCTCGCTCTTGGTATACGTCGGAGAATCACCCCTTCTCTCATGAATGGCTCTTCCTAACCGTGGCGAGTGATCCGATTACGAATGGCGTCCCCCTGAGAGACTTCATCCGTGATTCCATTGGAGAACATGCCAGGAAGATGTACTTGGGTACCTTCGATACGATGGCACAAGCTCATACCCTGAAGAGGCGATACTGTATCGTTACTTACACTGAGTCAGCTGATCCAAATGAACCTCCACCCAGGGGACCGAGTTGTACCTGCTCAGTTTGGCTGCGTGATGTCGTTTGCTGCCATACCCTATGCCTCGGTTATGTATTGGGTCAAGATTCCACAGAGGAAGCTGCGCGGGCCTGGAGCACAGCTCGCTGCTTTTTCACGAGAGCCAAAAGGAGGCGAGATGGCCAGGGGAGGTTCGGCGACGAGTCCCTACCAAAAAGGGCGCGATACGGCTTGAACGAGCCACGAAGAAAAGCCAGAAAAGAAGAGCGTGAAGCCACAGAAGCCGACACATCGAGTGGGGATAAGCTATCGGTAGCTGTGCCTTACTCGGAAGTGCGATGGCCATCATACTACTCTACTGATGGGATGAGATACTGCGGCTGTAGACAGGGATATTCCAGCTCCGTGGATATGTTGGAGTGCAGCAACCCCAAGTGCGACATAGGGTGGTGGCATATCCCTTGCATAGAGACATACGCTGCCGTATCTGGTTTGAGGAGTCGTCACATCACGGCAGTGGGGACTGAAAAAAAATGGTATTGCTTCAGCTGTCATCAGAGGCGAATCGCCGGTACCCGTCTCCGTTGCTAATATCCTTTTTACTATTTGCAAGTCCCATACTAGTCGGGGGAATCCAGTCCCGCCATGTTGCTAATTCGGGTCAACTGACCTGCGGAAGCACAGACTCGATGCCACCGAGTATCGACCCATCAGCATACGTGTAGTGTTCAGATTGATATAAATCCCCTTACGATAGAAATCTCAGCTCTATCTGATATATATGAACATATAAAGATTTTCATAGCACGTTCATTTCTTTCACGAAGCTGTTACCACAAAATGTAGATCGCGCACTGTATCGCTTGACAATTGAGCCGCGATTTGGACTCCAAATTTTGGAGTGACTCCAAATCGCGGCTCAATTGGCAGGTCCAAATTTTGGACCTGTGCAGCTGTTTGTCCCTTGTGACGCCGCTTATAGCTATTTGTTCCACTACCATCTATCGCGCTATGTCATTCTAATCACCCTCTGGCTCCTAACACGCTACGATTTCTTGATGAACTCGTTGATACGTACAATGAGAGAGCCTGCGTAGCGTTCTGTCCCTTGTGACACCGCTTATAGCTATTTGTTTCACTACCATCCATCGCGGTAATGTCGTTCTAATCACCTCCTGGTTCATAACACGCTACGATTTCTCAATTAACCCGTTGATACGCACAATGAGAGAGCCTGCGTAGCTGTCTGTCCCTTGTGACGCCGCTTATAGCTATTTATTTCACTGCCTTCCACCGCGCCAAAGCCACTCCAATTATCTATTATCCAGTTATCCCATCCTGAGATGAAGTTGTAAGTGCTTGTAACGAGAGAGTCCGCCTAGCTGTCTGTCTGTCTTTGTGATGCCGCTTATAAGTACGTAGTTCATAGTCACACGATACTGCGCACCTCTTTCGCTCCTTGCGCGAGTATGATAGCAAGGATTCGACCCATACAAATAACGACACAAACACACATGATGATAACACATACGTAACAAACTCGACCCATACAGATGTAATAACGCAGTCACTACCCATACACACATCACATGAGTGCTCGTGAACACGTGACGCGTGATCCGTGCGGCACGGGCCGTGCCACGGATGAACGGGCGCACACTGCCGACCTCCACCACAACTCTGACATGAGAACGGGCCGAAGACAATTTTACACGACACTCACGGGAGATCCCTTGGATCATTATAGCTGGGGCAGTATGGCTCTTGATGTTTTGTAGCTGTTGTTGTTGCTATTGTTGTTGCTGTTGATGTACGCTGTTGTTGTTCACTGTCGTTGTTGTTGCTATTGCTATTGCTATTGCTATTGATGTTGCTATTGTTATTGTTGTTGTTATTGCCATTGTTGTTGCTCTAGCTGATGTTGTTGTTGCTGCTTCGCATACATCATGTATGATACATGTAACGCGAAACGTTCTTGCAAGTGCAGGGAAATGGCAAATCGACCATTAGGCGTTCCAATGACTCCCTTTCAAGGACGTATGCCTGGAGTAATTGAGGCCCGCATAACTCTGGTATGCTTCGAGCTGGCAAATCGGTCGAATGCCTGTTGATGGTAAACCCCTTGTGGTGGTGGCTGACCTACTATGCTGGTTCGATCCTCGGTAGCGACATTTCTCCTGCATTTTTGCACGGCTTCATTGAAATAACTTCCAGCCTGGGAGTCCCAGCTTTGCGTTATAGGGAACAAGCTTTAACTTACAATGGCGGGCCGGAGGCCCGCATTCTATACTATTAAAACACAACACTCTTAGCGTTTGTTGACGTTCGACCCGATTTCTGTTGACGTTCGACCCGCTTAGCTTACATGGGTCCAGGGTCTGTAGAAGTTCCAAAACACATTGCTAGGGCGTTTAAGACCAGTGATCGTGTCGGCTGATCCAGGTCACGAGTGCACAAGAAGAGAAGAAGTCTTGAACCGGTCGTACTACCATCCTTCTCCGTCACATCATTATGCATGATACTCTACTCCAAGTCAAGATAACAGAGAGTTGCTTTACATCATCTCTAGCAATAAGAGTCTTATTCACCTCCCGAGGTACACGACAAGGCAGTAATCAATGGTAGTAATGTGAAGGCTCTCGTACTCCAAGATATCCCGAATAGATGCAAGGCTCTCGAATACGTCATCGGAGGCCACTACGCGCTGACTTACTGAGTAAACCATTGCTCCATGGTTAATCTCATGGATCCAATCGTTACATAATCACCATCTTTGTCATCGCTCCATGTACCTCCTTGCAGAGCTTTGCCGATGTTTCTGTCTCGCCTGGTTGGAGTTCTACTGGGAAGTAGTCATCGCCGCCTCGTCGTCTCGGCAACGAGGGGATTCCCCTTGGTGACTGCCTACGCCCCAGTCGTTGCCAATCCTTGCTACACTCTGTTTAGCATAATAGATCAACTCGTTGTAATGCATGGCCTGCAATGACCAGGCTCAAGGGACAGCCCGTTTTGGTAGTACGGATGTAGGCGCTGCGCTACTCACTCGTGCCGTGCTACTTGTACAACATCTATAACGCTCAATTGATTCAGGAATATCTTCACTGTTTACCTTCACCTCCACGACTTGGTATTGCTACTACTATAGTTACTTCAAAGTTCCCACGTTCTCCTCGACGAGCACGCAGCTCGGCCCTGATGATATCGTAATAATCAAAATGGGCAGCGAACTTGCTGAGATTCAGCACGTTTCCTAGTAGTGTCTTGGTCGTGTCTCGCCTTTGTAGATTTGACTTGGGATACTTGGCGCTGGTTCCGACGCTGCTGAAGGTTCAGCTTTATAGTGACGAGAATGATGATTTACTGGGGGGGGGGGCGGTAGACCTCGAAAATATGTCGAGGAAACGCAAAAACGTGAATGAAGGGCTCCTGTTAAAATGTATATAATTTTCACATTTGCTGAGTGTTGGATTTCGTAGTGGTCATAAACGCCCCATCGAATCGTTTTGTTGTCCATGGTCTCATCAAGATGGACGAGCACAGGCTTTAAAGGGAGATGGGATACCGTGTATCGTCGAGTGGTGCCTCTGGTGGCTTTGGCATACATGCTCAAGAAGCGGATGGACTACTTAAGGGTGCTCACTGACGATGAGAAGGAGGTAGTGGCGAAGTGGGAAAGGTCGGCATCCATGGCGATCACCCTACTGTCATCACTTCTACGGAGGGAGCTCTCAACTCACACGTGACGGCCCTCCCTTAGTAGTCTATAGTGACGACTGCATTGATGCTCTCTTAGTGGCTAGCTGCGGAAGTTATGCGTCGCAGAGTAGCGCTGGCCCAAGCAATGGAGGATGCGAAAGACCCCGATACGCTGCTCACGGCACTGCTCGGTCTTGCGAGGTAGTAGAAAGCGACGAACAGAGGTCATCACGTATGTGGCCTCATGGAGTATACTGGGTTGAAGTCAGTGGTTCTTTCCAGGTGCTCCACTGATGACCCTGAGGTTATATCCATTCTCAAAGTAGCAGTGAATAGGACCTTGGCAAGAGTAGTATGGGGAGGGGCGACCAGTGCATGGTTAGATGACATTGTCCACAGCTCATTCGCTTAGTCCACGCCTGTGGTGGTAGTCACTGTTGCTTGCATTAGGTCTTGAAGGCTCTAGAGGCAGACCATAAGCATCGGTCTGCAGCCAAGGATTTGTACTTCTACTGCACTCGTGGAGAGCTTGTTGGTTTCGCAAAGCGTTCCCTAGTGGATGCCCTGGGGCATAAGCTGCATCTAGCCGCGTTGTGCCAGTGTGCTACTGCATCACGCTTGGTCGTGCATCTGTTGGTCAGCTCCCCAACCGTCCTGCTTGGTGGGTGTTGCTATCGACGATGTTGTTGCTTATGGGCTGCCTTGTTAGGCATGACACTTTCCACGGCGATGTCGGCAGTGTGCGGATGGCTGGCGGCTGAGAGTGTCTCTCATAGGGGTAAAATTATGGAGGTGGCGATGAGCCCTCAGGACCGCAGTTTGAGGCCTATCTTATTGATGTTTATGGAGCTGGCTAGGTAGTATAGTGCTTGTAGTAGAGGTGGAGGAGGCATGGACGAGTTTAGGCTGGAGTTAACACAGATATTCCTGTGTGCTGCGGGGGAGGTGGTACTGGATGCCACTCAGCATGAGGCCATAACCAGCCTCAAAGGGGAGCTCTATACAAGAGCCTTACTCATGGACTATAAGCAGGTGAGCTCGTGCCATTCGTTGGTTCTAGGATGCCCCTAGGTCGTCTCAACGGACTTGGACCTTCTGCGTCGTACGATCGGGAGCTGTGGCACTGTGTGCCGGCTGTTACTAGGGTTGCCTAGTAAGGTTACTACACGTTTCAGTGGGGCTAGCACGACGCTGTGGCAAATCTATCGCAAGTCGGGGAACTCTAGAAGGAGGTGATAAGCTCTGTTGTGATGGTCCTTAGTGAGACTTCTCTGACGCTCAGGTTCCTAGGCTTGGTACTGTTCATTTTCGGTTCTGTATTTTTCAAGCGTCGAGTTATGGAGTATCTCATTTACTGGCGTTTGATGGACACCTCTGTGGTGGACCCGAGAGGCGGTCCTGTTATGCTAAGGTAGGCGGCTTTCCATTGGGTGGTATTGGAATATACGCATGTGCTCAACTATAGCGAGGAAATTGAGAGCGAATTTCAATAGTCTTTGTTGGTTTCTGTGCACTTCTGCTCTAAGTCAGTTGAGAGGACCAAACATATACTTCAGCACTGTCGTTGGGTGGTGGGCTCGTCCAGTGAGAGGTGCATAGGTTGTGGCGACATCTGTACTCCCCGGAAAGCATTCTGCAAGTTCGAGCCTTCGGTCGGCAGGAGTTGGAGGCTAGACAGTTCCAGGCTACTATAAGGATGATGGAGAGACGGAATGAGTACTACTTGAGGGAGGACCTATTGAGCTACCTCTTATTGTAGGTATGATGCCTCTCGACAGGCTCTCATGCACCTCCCCATGGTACAGCTACTAACGTCGTGTGCTCACGTATCAGAGGTGGCAGCAATAGCATTAGTAACGGGCAGCGGCTCTGGAGATGACGCTGGCATCGTCGGCTCTGTCATGACCGCAGCATTGGGCCAATCAGTTGGTGGGGAAGCAGGTGATATCAAGTTCCCATTCAGAGAGAGGCACTGTTGCTTGTATAGGTACTTGGGCCTCGGTGTCTGGCAGTATTGACACCCTCCTTGACACTGCCGATGCTGTGGCCTCGGCTGCTGATGATGCTTGTGAGCGTGCAGGGCGGGCGAGATTCACACCATCATGCTCCTTTGGGGTCAGGTCGAATAGTGAAGGCTCTGGATACCCCGACTGAAGGCGTTCCCAACGGCAAACTCCCGAGTAGCTCTCTCGAGTTGGCAGGTCTTGAAGTGGATGTGCGCAACGTTAGCTTTGCATACGAGCAGGCTGCTGGCTCTAATGGTGCGGTTGGCTGGCATGTTCGTGAGAATTGATGAGCTGAGTTCAGGTCAACGAGGAAACTCGGCGAATTCGCCAGGCTTATGTGACATCAGTTTTTGTGTACCCCCTGGGCAAAGGGTTGCCATAGTGGGGGAGAGTGGCACTGGTAAGACTACTCTGGTGGAGGTGTTGTTACAGGCGATCAAGCCAGACAAGGGCCAAGTAAGGGGAGGACCATGTGGCGATGTATGGCCGTCATGGTGCTGGCTCTAGGTTTTTTTATCGGGTAAGCCTTTGAGCTCACTGAACCCCCAAGCGCTGAGGAGTACTGGCCTGTTGGGCTGTGTTATGCAGGAGAGTCCTCTCACGGAGAGAGCCTCCATACGAGAAGCATTGAAGTGGGATTCAGCCAAACGCTGTGTGGGGTGGGAGGTGATGTGGCTCAGTTATGGTATGACCCCGATGGCCTCTGATGCCGAGTTGTTGGATGCCTTGGCCCGAGCACAGCTGCAGTATACCCTAGGGGTGAAGTCCCTGGGTCTGGATGGTAAACTGGCTGAGCTTAGCGGCGGGGAGCGCCAGCGTGTCGAGGTACGACTCGATACGCTGCTGGATGATCCTACTCCTGCCTCCCTAGTTGGCGCGAGTAATTCTGACTCGTCCAAGACTGGCAATCCTAGACGAGGCTACGAGTGCTCTTGATGAGGTTACTCAGAAGAGGGTCATGAAGGAGATCTTCGAGGCTTGTGGGACTGTCAGTAGCAGTGCTCTGTGACCATCGGGAGTTGCTTCTCCTCAAGGTGATCCTAACATGCCATCGTCCGAGTGTAGTTCGCATGTGTGAGAGGGCGATCGTGTTGGTAAGGGGAGGCTCTGTGGTGGAGGACGGCCTTGTGGAAGAACTTTCTCGAGATCCCAACAGTCGCTTGCGGGCTCTTATGGCTGAACGGATCAGCCCACAGGTGCAGAAGGCTACCACTGCTCTGCCTCTTACCAATGGCTTCGGATTGGGCCAAGATTTTCCTGGTTGATATCGAAATATTTCTAAACGTAATTAACATAGCGCTCTGCGTATCAACGCTGTGTTAGATTTACTATAATACTTGGATGATTTCATGCTACTTTTTCCTCGAGTTGAACTGGACGAGCGAGAGCACACGGTTATATTAGCTTGCCTTTGTGCCCTCGAATGGGCTTTTGATCATGTCAACGCCGCCGCCAGCCTCACCTTCGTCACTCGATGGAATGGCGCCTGTCGGGGGAGAGATGCCCACTGCTGAACGAGTGCTTGCCAGGTCTCCTGTGAGGTTCAAGAAACAGTTATGGGACCTCTACTTTACGACCCAACGTCTAGGTAAGGGGGACGTTGCTAATCGTTGGATCTACTTGGTCAGTTTTCAACCCGTCGAGCAACAATACTCAGACGGAGCCGATGATAGTCATGCTGAATCTGGTGGCTGGGTTTGTAGCCAACAAGCACAACCCCGTGAAGTCCAACAGGGCTTTGATCAAACTAACATACCGGTGAGTGTGGATATGGGAATAGAGCTTGGCTAGAGGGTTCGACAGGGAGCATGCGAGTGAAGACTCTCGGGAGCGGGTCATTGAGTTCACCTCGCAAACACAAGCGTGGGAGGACCAGCACACTATTCTGGACTTGCTCAAGAGGTAGCTACAGTCGCATGTGAGTTGATTTCGATCGGGTGTGGTATTCAGTTACGCTGGAGATGCTGCAGAAGAGAGGCAAGCGAGGCGACAACGAGCCTTACAGCAGGCGGCTAAGGACAGGGCCGAGTTCCTAGCGAGCAATAGGGAAATGAAGGATCGGTATGATCACAAAGGTCAGGAGCATGAACTCTATCTCCACTGCTAGGTATGAGCGCCTGGTTACACGTTCGAAATGCTTGACGGCTGAGGAGTTCTGGGACCGCTACAGGCTGGAGCTACACCTACATAAACAGGCTATGAGAAGGGATGGTAGGAATTCACCACGCTTAGCATCATGGTTCGATGCGGGTTGAAGTCCTGGTCATCGTTTTAACTCGAGCGAAAACGTTTGTTCCTTCCTTATTCTTGTCTTTGTAGATCAGGGAGTTCACTCGAGCCTGCCTATACCGATCAACTTGCCATCCCAGATAGCGAACCCTCAGCAGGGCGATAAGGGCGTTTTCAACATCACGCCAGAGACGGTGGGACGATCATCGTTATGAACGCTTGTGAGGTTCACTCCTTGGGCAGCAACGAGAAGTATTCGAGCAAAATCCGAAGGTCCGCGCCGCATATGAGCGCCTGGTGCCGACTAGTCTAAGTGAGAAGGAGTTCTGGACTAAGTACTTCCAGTCGGGTTACTACTACAACTCACAAGGGAAGGAGAAGCCCAAGAACATACCCAATGACCCTTTGTTTGATGCCATGGAGAAAAGTAGGCGCTTCGCTCCGCCTAGTTCCGAGGTTTTATGTTCAGCCGCTGATGAAATCGGCCCTGATGTGTGGACAGCGGAGTCAATGGTGAACCCAGAGGTCGGTCAGGTGATTGCTCTCATGTTCATGATCGGGTCTTCACAGGTGGATCTCACTCAAGCCGAGATGAGCACGGGTCACGCCGAGCACAGTGTTGAGATGCAACCGCTACCTGGTGATGCCTTTGCTAGCAATGGTGAGTTAGATCTTCCCGGTCTTCGAGAAGTAGGCCGATCCCCGTTAGATACCTTCCAGAGTTTACTTCATCGCTTTAACAGTCAGAGTGCTCGTGTTACTGGTACGGTTCGTTCGGCACTATTTTATCCATTACTCTTAAACCAGGAACAGTGCTAAGGTCCGAGCCAAAATCATCGTTTGATGTGGAGTCGGTGGCGAAGCGACGCAAACTGGCCTTGGATTCCTCGGAAAGCACAGAACTGCCGGATTTGCGTCAGGAGGATCACGATCATGATACTCGATCGATGGCTATAAACAAGTACATGACGTTTGTTTTTTCTTCGTGTTGGTCATTGCTATCCACCGTAGGCTCATGGCACGGTATGCTACCAATGGATCTCCTCCGGGTTCTCCCAAGGAGGCCAAAATGGAGGTTTCTGATGAAGCGTAAGCTGGGAGTATACTCCCTGATAGGCTTGGCTGTAGCAAATCGAGTGGGGAAATATTCACATGGTCAACTACATGTGTTGGTGAGAGTTTGAAAGTTGTGAGGAAACTTAGGGAAATTCTCGTTGGTTTTCGTACACTTCTACTCGAATTCTTATAACTTTCATCACTAGTGAACTCAGCTGAGGAGAGCGAACATATATTCTCAACACTGCATGAGATGGTGATGCATCTCTAGGTGCGAAGCCTGGGCTCAGGCTCTGTCTAAGGAGGGCTGCCCGCCTGTGCTGTCGAGTCATGAGGTCCTCACCAAGGTCGACCAAGAGACTATCGAGTTGTCCAAGGAGTTGGTCCATCTCGTTGGGCCTGGTGGATCTGTCAGTGGTCCCGGTCGGTGCACATCGGGTGTTCATACTCTATAGATGCCTACTGAGTTCAGGTCTAGTCGTGCCCGGCGTCCGCATCTGGGAGAACGATGTGATGACTGCCGGAGGTCAATCACGGGTTGACCATGGTGCCATCAATGTGCGAACTAACCCTGGCAGCAAGCTGTAAGCATTTCCTCTGTATGTGTGCCATCGAGACTAGTTCCTGAAAGGTATCGGCGTATGGCTGACAGCACAGTGAACGTCGAGTTAGACCAACTCCTCGAACGAGTGCGAGAGTTGCTCTCGCACTTTTGGGCCTCGGGGATCTCCCCACAACAGGCCGAAAAACGAGATAGAGTTCTGAAGGTATAGCAGTTAGCACTGTGTCAGTGGACTGCAGCGGTGATGCAGGTGCTGCTAGCTGAGAAGGATGCGATGGAGTCGTGGATGACCCGAACGCCTCCAGAGTGGCACGCCACCTGCCGGTGGTACAGCATACCACTCCATGGCCAAATCGTCGAGGTCAGGTACATCAAAGAAGCCGTCGAAGAAGCACATCGAGTGGCTGTTAAGTTCAAATGACATATGCTGTTTCTAGTCAGTCATCTTTAGCCTTGTGTCGAGTCTACCATCATTACTGGACTGTTCAGTATTGATGCCATCGCCGTCGGGGTCGGGGTCTGCTAAGTCCGGCTCGACCTTCGGCAACGATCTCTTCGGGTATCTTATCCACTTAGCTACCCTTTACCAACGCCCTCCAGGCAAGCTAGTGTTCCTCGGCACTTTCATCGTGCGTACTACTCTTTTTAGGTGCACCTGTTGTGCCTGGTAGCAACTCCCATCAGTTGGGTGCTCTGTTCGAAGAGCTCTACAAGGATCCTGCGGTTGTAGCATATGTGTATAGCAGACTCAACGGCATCGGCAAGGTCGGCTGGCTCTCATTTTCTCCATGGGAAAATATGCACGCGGTCACCTGTATGAAAATAGTGAGGAAATTTTGGGAAATTCTTGTTGGTTTCTGAACACATCTACCCGAATTCGAATATGGACTACTTTTGTTAGTGAGGAAGCTCCTCTTCAGCTGCTCCAGAACTGCATTCACTATTCAGGTCTTCATCAACCGTCTCATACTAGTACATCGTCCAATCCAACAAGGCGTTATACGCCATTGGATATCCTCCTTGCATGACTCCGACCACTCAAAGTACCGCGCCGCCTTGTCTCAGCTCACCAAGCTGTGAGTAACTCTGATTTCGATGGCTGGTCTCTGAGTGCAGTGCTATCAGGCATATCTTGCTGATGGACCCCAAGGGCCAGCACTTACGAATGAGCTCCAATTTTCGACAGCGGCTCCACGAGGTTTTCCTCAAGGTACGGTATGAATTCAGGAACGATCAGCTACTGGGAGCATTCAGAATACGAGTGATGACCACCAGTCACCACCGTGGGAGATCCTAGAGGAGGCCAAGGTTGACGTATCCAAGGTCGACGGAGTGCTCAGTAAGCGAGCCGATCTTAGAACGCTGTTCGTGGATGCTATGCTTCAGCCAACGGTGGAGCTCCACGAGATGCCGGTATGAACAGATTGGACGAGTACGCTGCCCTACGGTGGGAGTATGTTTTGGAGGCGATGGTTGATGGGATGACCGCGGCTGTGGGGGACGCGTCACTTCGGCCGGAAGGAGCCCGACAAGGTGAGTCGACTCAGGACTAGCTGTCCATAGACTGGTTTCAGGTCTGTCCGGGATCGTTGGTATGAGCAGTACCAGCACATCTACGGGGCAGCTCTTCCAGTTCGTATTGGCCTCACGGACGAGCCAGTAGGTCGCGTTGAGCTGTGTCATTCGATGAGTCTCTACTATGAAGGTATTGGGAGCTCGTCCGAAGAGCCTTTGATATGATCGAACGGCAACATGGAATACAGTCACTGTTAGCTCCAATAAGGATGGTGGTGGCCCTCACTAGGTCCATCAAGCATGAACCAGAGCGACTGCTCCCCGGCACTCGCATCCGTGTCAATCCTCAATGTGGGCCTTGCCGATGTTGAGCTCATGAACCGCAACAACAGGTATGGCGACTCCTGGAGCCAAGGGGGCCGTAACGACTCTCCTCGAGACCCTAGCCGACCTTGGGATCGTGGTCCCTGCTACCTATGATGATGAGCTTAGGAAAGTAGCCGCCTTGCAGAGGCAATACGGTACGGCTGAACTGCCTTCCAGTTCTCCCATCGTTGAAGAGGATGTGCTCTCCCTTCCTATTCAGGTGAATCCGTGAAGTACGAGTTGCCTTTGGTGAGCTCGGACTCCAGGATGGTTGTATCCAGTTTGGTGTACGTCATGCAAGCTAGTCGGTCGAAGATGATGATGAGTGTTGATGATACCACCGCTATCACCAACAAGTCTTGCAGGCTCTTCGTGGATAGTAACTTTGCGGTTACTGCATATACGACGTGAGCCGCATCTACTGTGCTTGTGAGGGTCAGCTGCCTTCATAGGTCGAGTTTGGATCTGCGTCTCCTCGGTACATTCGTACAGCTACAGCGACAGCTTGGTGATGGTAGGGAGTATGACCCTAACGACTTTGGCTGCGTCCTGGGTACTTTGACGCAGAGTTCCGTTCAGTCGGCAGCTCAGAGGTAAGGACATGTTGCTGCTCTCGCCGAGATTCTGCCTTGTAGAGGTGTCACTTCTGAGTACATCATTTCCTATCTCAAGAGTCATGTGGACCCTCGAGCCGCTCACATGGGTTCGCAAGGTGGCCGGTCCTCAGCTGGTAAGACTTAGCTGCTGATGGGAGCCTGCAGTGCTTCCCCTCAGCTACAGCCAACACTGGTGCTGCACGAGGCGAGAAGTTCATCGATGGAATACCAGCCAATGTGGTGACACAGATCACTCTATGGGAGAGGGAGGCCATTCACAACAGGCTACGCATAGATCCTGGTACGGTCGCCTTCATTCGATCATCATCAGCATGGTCCTCTTCCAGGCGTGGCCATCCAGAACCCGGCGGCTACCACTGCTATGGACCAATTCACCGGGATGACTCAATCTGAGGAAGCTGCCAAATACGTTACGCGGATGATGCAGGCTTGCGGGGTATATTACGAGAGAAGTGGGGGAGGACTGTGTGGTCTCCTTTCAGCCTTCGGCGTGTCTGTGGAGTCAAGCGACGAGTAAACGGCAGCACCCAGAGCACGACACACAGTCGCAGGTGGGTCTGGAAGACCGCTACAGAAGCCTGCTTAGTCCCATTGTCCCAGACTATTGTTGTTTCCGAGCGTGCGGCCAAGCGGTTCAAGCTCATCGCCCCACCGTCTTCCTCTAGCAGCGAGAGTGATTTTTGATCGTCACTATTTTCCTCGCTCTAGTTGTTATCATAAGTACTGTCACTCACTCAAACCGTCACTGACATTATTAAACGTGAATCATTATCGTATCGTTCTACTACGTCACCATCGCTAACATTTCCTATCACCGTCGCGCTGCTTGCGTCCGAATTTGCATACGCCCAGCACGGTCAAGGGATGTTATAGTTGAATCGCTCCGTGAGGCATGGACTTCAACGCAGCTCACACCTTGCAGAGACTCTCGAGATGGTCCTAGAGACTCCCGTCTGAGTGACGACTCTATAATAGACCGGAGATCTATGTCAGTGAACTCGGTAGCGTTCATGTCCTGATCGTTATCACAATAGGTACTCTGGACAGATCGATGGACAACGCTGACATTTGCCATTTGCGGATCAGTCTCATCATCTCAGCAACAGATGGATATAAGGACGAGATAGATATGGGAAAACTCAGGTCACTAGTAAGAACTGTCGCGACCATGCGGCCAACAGCCGAGTTCAGGCGGATCTCCCTCTCAGATAGATGGAGGCAGATACTACGACATGGGTATTAACATTCATGTGCCATCGTCTGATTTTTACACGTGTCTGCAAAGTTCGTGAGCGTTTTTGGACGGGTGAATATCTCCCGTCGGAGTTGCAGCCACCGGAGGTTATGGTCTCTGAGGCGGATGATAGTGATGAAGATGAATCAGCTCATGATGAGCAGTTGTATGGAATGATGCCGCACTAATTCGATAGACTCACGGTGTCGTGTTAGATGCCTCCCACAGCTGTCGTTGATCTAACCGTGAGCAAGCAGCGAGTCGATTCGGATCATTCAGCGTGGTCAATGGAAACTTCTTAGTCAGGTGAGAGCTCATTGCATCGATTTCGTCCAGGGGTACTACGTACTCTTCAGTCGTTTTCCAACTAGCAATCTACTACACAGGCAGGAAGCCGGCTCAACCCTCTCGGTTTTTCTCTCTCCCTTGTCTTGAGTTGTAGCCGCTGTTTGATAGAATCCACAGCTTGTTAACTTCTGGACTCCACTTATGTCGGTGCCATTGCTCCCGTCGTCCACACCAGAGCCCCCTTGCCCTGTCGATCCCCTCCTCATGCGTGAATACGCTGTCGACTTGTCCTACCGAGCCTCTATCTTGCTCAAACTCCCATTGAAGGTCCCCTTAGCTGCCGCTGTTATCATACAGCGCTTCTACTTCCGGAAGGGCTTCACTGCCTTCAACGCCAGAATTGTGTCATGCGCTGCGACGTTCCTCGGGTGTAAGTACGAGGAGACTCCTAGAGCTATGTGGAAGGTGGTACAGGTCTTTCAGCTTTTGCATTTACGTGAAGTGGAACCGAGGACGGACGGCAGGCAGTGGGAACTAGTTGAAGCCATCGATCTGACAAGTGATGAGTACAAGCAGATCAAGACGGAAGTGATGAGAGCTGAGCGCTATATTCTCCGCGAGCTCGGCTTTGAGATCGGACAGCTGCTGTTCCCTTCCGCCCATGCTATGCTGGTTCCCCTGGTTCAAAGTGTATTCGGTGCATGTGGTCATGGCGTGGCTAAGAGTGTAGCTCGGCGTGCTTGTCCGATACTCACCGATATTCATCGGTCTCCCATAATCTGCTTCTTACCACCAGAAGCACTAGTTGCCGGAGCTATGTTCATGGCCGATGCTGAGCGCCCTGACGAGTCCGGTTTAGCGGAGACTACTTGGTGGGAGGCCCTCGGTGTCTCCCAGGGCCAATTGGAGCTCTTCATTGATGAAGTATTACGGCTAAGGAGAGCGCCTGATGAGCTCACATATTTCTCCCTCTATCCCCCGAAAGTAGAAAAACAGCTCACCACCCCTCAGCCTTCGGTTAGCTCTGCTGCGGCTTCGCCAGTAACATTGGATGATGAGCAGCCGACTGAAGTCCTGGCTGCGAAGCCCGAGGTGAAGGAGCAAGTTGAACGTCCTGTGGTGCTACGACCAGCACCGAATAAAAAAGAACCACATTCGCAGCCTCCTGGCAAGGCATCTGTGAAGAGGCGCGCATCTTCTGGTTCGAAACGTGAACGATCAAGGGAGAGGTCGAGAGAACGATCGAGGCGACGGGATAGGTCCAGAAGGAGATCTTGCTCAGGAAGTAGAGGACGTCGAGAACGCCTCAGCGATGGCTCACGGACACACGAGAGTTCTCGTGATCGTCGCCATCATGATCACCGTCATGAGCGTGGACGAAGCTGGTATGAACGTCGATGACAGACCTTTGGTTGAGATATCCTGTTGATTCATTATCATTAGTATCATACGTTGCGCCTACTGCAATGTTTGGTTGTCACTAAGTGGAATGCCATCAGGATAGTGTGACGACGCGCAAAGGGAGAAAATATCTGTGAATCACAGCGTCGTGAACAAAGCGTCGACCATCTCCTAGTTTCCTCCACTGGAGACCACATAAGCAGTAACAATTCGAGCTGATTCGAAGAAGCACAATTAGTCATGATAGGATGGCATTTTTATCGTATCGATGTTATTCGAATCTCTGTGCTTACTTGAAAAAACACTGAGTGATGCGCGAGCGTTCTGTAGCTAGTGGGATAGTCGCTGATTAGTGCTCACGTCCAGGAGTGCCTCACAAGGATGATGACCTTAAGATGGCTGTATAAGAGTTCAGGTGTGTCTTCCGATATCTGGAAAAAGCGACGTCGGAAATCTTTCCACGGACCATTTTTGTTGATGTCGATCTCATTTCTTCGAACGGGGCATCCCCCGGTCCACTAATCTGTCTCGGACGATACTATAACACAATCACTTGAGCGATGTCTATTAGCGTATCCGATCTCAATAAATAGTTGACAAGAATGGATGAATGGGTAAGGGTTTGAACTTAAATTTTCCGTCGAGTACCATCGGAAGGACGTCTCGGCAAGTGTAAGGGGTCAACTGTGTACTGCATTATGTTTTTTGAGTGTTGGCTCAAACGGTCATCTGAGATGTGATCAACACGAATTGGACAATGGTCAAACATCCCATTACCAATTGAGCATGACCGTCGATGAGTTCGTACGGGTTCCGATGCATCAGAGGATGAAACGTGGGAATGCTCCCCGATATTGGATCCTGTGAACTCGGAAAGTTCACCCCATCGGGATATGGCTTGTTCATGACGATCAGCATGAAGCTATGATGAACACTCGACTCGGGTTACTCTGCATCTTCACTCACCTGCGCCGTCCTCGGTGAGGCTGGATAGCTTTGCGCTCGGCGAGACCTATGGTACACGATAGTCTCCCCGGAGGAATCGCTCATACAAGAATGGGACTCGGAATATCTGGCATGGGAAAGTAGAAGCTGGTAAATACACACCATACCGTTCATCATCTTCATCATAATCTTCATCGTCTTCATCTCCATCTTCTTCATCTTCATCATCATCTTCATCACTCACTTGCTCAGAATGTTCATCGTAGACGGTTACGCCCTAAGGACAACCAAGGTACTGTTACTCAGTCCCTGGAGCTGATCTTTGTACGGAGTCATCCAACTCAACTCCCCACGATGTCACTGAGGATCTCCGAGTAGCCAGTTCTTGATGAACGTATCTGGGCGCTCCAAATCTGCATCCTCGTAACCACATAGTACAACCCTACCTCAACACTCCGAGAGCTTCTTTGAGTGCCCGTTGTCGGTCTAGAAGGATTTGTACAGCAAGGTCATATGCTTCCTCATGGAAGCCGATGGATCTCAGAAACTCCACACCATCAGTCGGGTACCTGAAGGTGGCAGCAAAGCCCTAAGTCCTGTCGGGCATCGAAAGGTTCTTTACTCATGTCGACAAGTTGGACAAGTATTTTTCTTGGTAAACCATTGCTTGATACAGTTCGAGTGGAAGTAGTGTCCGCATCCACTGTTGAGCTCTATCGCCTGCAAGCATTAGCTCCTACCCCGAGCGCGGGACGACAAGGAGGCTGTATATCTCACGTTTTCGCCTTCAGTGATATTCTCCGAACAAATGGTGCAGAACCTATCGTTGACATTTTCGAAGCATCGAGCTGGAGAGTCCATACCCAGGCCGATTGATCTCGACGAGTCTTTGGATCAGAGCCTTGCACACGGGAGTATCGTTCAGACCGAGGCTGTCAGAGCGCCAATATCGAACCATACCGGCGGAGGAGGTCGACCGCTGCCACGCACATAGCAAGACGAGACGGAGGAGCAATCCACCTGGGCTATGGTGTTCTCAAGAGGGGAAACTCCATCGGGCTCGCGGGAGAACTCGGCCAATAGGTCTATGAAACGGGCGTCAGGAATGTGGCCTCGTTCATATCTGTCGAGAAGAGCAGCGTTCAGCCGTGGTAGCCGTTTTGAACAGCTCACAGTCTGACTAAGCCAATGACCGCGGCTTGGTGTTCCTGACTCTCAATGAGGGATGGTCGTCGCAGTAGACGGCCCTGAGTGGATACAGCCCTCCACAGCTGCGGTCGCGACCAGCTCATACCCTCAAAGCCGCTGTCTCTTCCGCCTCAGTGCGGGAAGGCCGTCGAGTGAGGTACGTATCTATGGACACGAACCATCGTGGGTAGCGAGGGTGACGAGCCTTGCGATACCTGGTAGGTAAGGCGAGACTTCTGTTTGGGTGGAGTCGCAAGCTGGACAGAGGATGACGTCTCCGTCCTGTGAAGGGCACAAACTCCACGCGCCCGATAACAACGCATCGCCTACGTCGAATATCTCACTCCGACTGCCGCAGGAGTGACAGAAAACAGATTGAGGTGACAGCATAAGGGAAGGTAGCATAGTTGACACTGGAGGGGTGCACAGACTAAAAGCATTCCGTACTAAGGTCGATGATAGAATCCCGACTCCCTATCGTATTTCTAATCTCGATGAGCAAGTGCTGTTCATAGTTGGAGCCGTTCACATTCGGGTAATCGCTATGACAAAACGCAAGTCGTCGAGTCTGGACAGGGGGAAACCAGGAAGTGCCCTCTGGAAAACGGAATGGGCCATGGTCATCTCATCACAGAGGCATGCTCTAGTTATCGTTCTCGACGGCGCTTCGCCTCCTCCAGAATCTTGCGTATTTCACGTGGAGAGGGCTTTTTGTACGCAACATTTTTCGCTCTCGCGATCAGCCTCGATCTCGTGGCAGCAGCCTGAGCGGCATTACGTGCTTCCGCGCTGTCGCCTCGACTCGGTTGTATAGATGGCGTCTTGAGAGGGGCTTTGCGAGCCCGGTACGCTAGGAGAGCCTCCAACTGGCGTCTCTTCTGCTCCTCACGCCATTGCTTCTGTTGTAGGGTATCACCCCTAACTCTAACGGGCACCGCTTTGCTCTCGGCCGCAAGGCGCTGACGCCAGCCCAGAGGCGGTAAGTACTGATCAAGCACGCTTGCTGTGCTCATCACATGAGCATTAAGCCGACTGGTCATATCCCGGAGACGACTTCTGCGCTGCGCCAAAAGTTCATCGGCATCCTCACCATCCGACAGGAGACGACCAAAGACTTTCCGTTCGAGCTCTTCGCTGGCGCACCTCGCCGTCTCCTTCGCTGGTAATAACTCCTCTATTTCCTCCGCTTGCGAGACACAGTCTAGTTCAGACTGTCTCAAGTCTTTCATCAGAGATATGGTCCTCTGAAACCCCACCGTCAGAGTTGTATCGATGCTCTTGCTGAAGCCCTGTACCACAGTGTGCAGGTCGAAAATTGGATCTCGCTCGGGCAGCTGGAAGTCGCGGTGGAGGAATTGGTGCGGGTGACGGCCATAGAGCTTCATATAGTGCATGAACATGTCCCGCATGCCGTCATCGTCAAAGTCACGAATATATCTCTTTTCTCGTATGTGGCTGATCAGCTCTCGCGCCTAATGACAAGCGAACACCTCCCAAGATGAACACCATATTAAACACCCTTTGACAAATTGAGCGCACATGGGTTTTGAGCTCACACTGACGGTCATCGCCTCCATATAGAGCTTATCATGCTGTGGAATGAGGTTTACATGAGGTTGCCACTCCCAGTTCACATTTGGAATCTTGAGATGTTCATGATCCTGAGTGATTTGCGAGGAAGATCTACTATATGTCCACAAAGCATCACTATCACATCATCTTGCTGGGGTAGAAATACTGTGCTAAAGCCCCCTCGAAAACCGCCCTGGGCTTCAGTCCGCTGCACTATGCCATCGAGAGCTCTGATGACCCGAGCACGACTCGGCCACCTAGCTCCGTGAGGCGTGTAACTGCAAATCCTTTGCATGCCGAACATTTCTTGGAGTGTTCTTGCCTGTGACTGGTTCCGTCATATTCGTAGGAAAACGATCGCCTTAGGCCGAGCCAGGATGTAGCCGAAGTTAGGAACAGATGGGCAACGTCCTGATGACTCGATCGCTATTCGGTCATGGTCACTTCCATGAACACGTACTGTTATGAACTGTTGCGCTACTGGGAAATGCTCCAACTCCCCTTGGGCTTCCCCGAAAGCACGAGATATGATAGCAATGAAGAAGTTGATGAGAGTGAAGAACACGATGAGGCCATATCTAAGCTCGAGCCGTCGTGTTCAGAGCATATCGCAGTGAATACGTGGTCATCCACAGACTCATGGCCGTTGGCCGTTGTAGCATGGGCTCGTCGAAGTCTTCAAATGGCCATTCCCCTGTGAGCAGCTGGAATTGCAGATACCTGTTCCGGAGAGGCTATCCTGGTGAGATATTGAGGCCAGAATCACATGAGCTGTGAGGGCGAGGAGAACCGTCTAGCCGTGTCACCAAAACACATCAGGGCGGCTACGAGGAGAGCGGCTTGGAATGAAAAGAAGAGAAGGAAAAAGTGTACGAGCTCGTCACGGGCGAGCGATATCGTGCCTGAATGGTGGAAACACGAAGATGGAGGAGACGGACCGGGCTTGGAGACATACGAATCAAAGCGGCGACTTTCGGATGCCCAGCCGGGAACTTTATCAGACGGAAGATTATGACCATGAAGAGTACAATCTCGGCGCGACGAACCTACATAGGGTGAATTCTCGGCCTGGACCGCTAGGGATCGAAAAGTTCATCACCAATCTGATCCAATATATCGTTACGCGCATATTGTCGTACTTATCCAGATAACTCTGGACACCAGCATCTGTTAGTGGATCCAAATCTAGATAATAGAAAAAAGTCTCACTAGAACTAGAACCCACGCAAGCAGATCTCGCACGCCTATGGTATGTTACCGTCGTTGAGAAGTAGACCGAAGACGTCTTGCTCCATCCAGTCGTTCGCAACGACCACCAGGCGGAAGACACCCAAAGCTATGATGATAACGTCGCTGAGTAAATTCTAAAGACAAACCCATCTTGGTTCACTATCGAAGATTTGACATGATACTCACGGCGTAGCTGTAGACGTGCCCAACTGAGCCCGACAACTTAGCTAACTGGTTTAGCTCACGCATCAAGCGACGACCTCGTTCACGTCGAATGTTCGACATTATCATCATGACCTTCAACAGTAGCTTCCGTGGCCCGGCTGGCCTTATCGTTAGGTGAAGTGCTGCTCACTTGGATTCCACCATCGATGGCAGCAAAGAGGACGGCCAATAGAAGGGTTATTGGAATGTCTTTCATATTTTCTATGGTTTCCGCTTGATATCGAGGGTGGACATAGTTAGACTCGCTTATTTCAAACGACGTCTCCACGTAAACGAAGACGACCTAAGGTAAGGAGTTGTTGCTGTGAAGGTAGGGATTCCATGCGAAAAAGGCGCACTCCATGGTTAGGATCATCTCGGTGATAGTAAAAAACCCGCCTGATGTCAATGGACGTAACAGAAGGAGCGACAAGGTCGTGGTTGATGAAGTCGGAGGCTATCGAAGGGATCTGATCTAACGATAGAGATAACTATATACGAAGGTATTTGACGTGTGGACCTGGAGGGGCGTAGGGAAAGGCATCCGAGTATCTCTCAGTGTACTCCCAAGGCCAGATGCTGCCGAAGTGCTTCACATTCACCCAAAAGTGATGAGGGAATTTATTTGCTACTCTGAAACAGATATAACTAATGCTTTATCTAGAGGTCGGCTACTGACACTGAGAACAACAAGTTAAACCACACTGTCGACTCAGATGGGCCATGTAGCGTCATCCCGCACTCACTCAAGAGGAACATCATCACCAGGGTCGCTGCCAACGCAGTTTTGCAGCACATTAGGGAGATTCTCACGTACTGTGCAATCATTTCGCGACACATTGCTCCCAGAGTCTTCTCGAGGAAAAAGTCGGCACTTCATATACCTATGGCCATTTTCTCGACGGAGTAAATCAGTCGGATCGAACACCCACCCGAGAAATTGATCAGAGAACTCTCGAGCGGTTGTTGGCCCACAGGGATCTATGATCTTTCCTCTATGGACGACGATCATTGGTAACAAGGCAAGGACCTGATTCCGTCTAGCTGTACACAGAGCTGAGCTCGTCCCTACTGGTCCCTTTATGGCCTTCTTCGGTTGAATGTGGATGTCCGGTTCACCACCATTGTTAGGGTTGGCTACTAAGGTCACAGTTGCGCGGTCTGGACCGTAAAGCTCGAATGGTCTCGAGCGTTCGGGTTCCGTCTGAAGTGAGCCCTGTCAGAACTACAACCTGCGGGGCGCCTGCACTCGGATGAGATCCAGCATAGAGTCGAATGTTCTCAACGTCTTGATCCTGGTCAGCAAGTCTGTGCTGATATCTACGGGCACAGGCCACTTGAAATGGAGGTATATAGTCATAATATAGAATAGGCAGCAGAGCATGAACCTACAGCGAATGACTACGGAAGCCATCACCGCTAAGGTCATGAGGATTTGTGAGTACCCGATCTCAGCTTTCCCGTGGGAGATCATTCTGTTCTCCATGTGCAATCTATCGCGGAAGTTCTGCAAATGCATCCGAGCGTCATCACTTCGACGAATATGTCTCGCAGCCACTGCCCGTCTGATAAGAAGAGTCCGAATTCTCTTCCCCGCAGGTGGCAAAAGCACTTGGCCGCTCCCTGTGCTCTGCTCAGAAGGCTCTTATGGGCTCTTCCGGTGATTCTGGCACTCTCCTGAGTCGTTGTCTTCTCCTGGTTATCCTCGCCAGTTTCCATTACGCGTGGAAAATACGGTGACGCGCTGTATTAAACGAGATAGCAGTTTTCTGGCCCAGAGGATCCTAACGATCAGGGTCCGAGGTCACTACCAACACTTCGCAAGAATGTATACAGTATCCTCTCCGAGAGCTGCACGCATATGCGGTGCACATTGTGCACATCTATAGGCATCGCGCATGATGATACAGACGATGAAATCATATGCAATCTCGGGAGTTGCGACCACTACAACAAAGACTGAGAATATAAAAACATGAATTGCGTCTCGACGTTTAGTCCTCATATCGTCCTCCGTATGGCGACAAATGTAGCTAACTGATGATAGCACTGGCACATAATAAATGACACCACCGAGAAGTGCAGTAATGGATAAGCCCCGCATTTCGTTGAAGTTCGGAGGTTATTAGGATATATGTCTGCACGTGGAAGGAGTATATGCGGCGGAGTAGTTTGGGAGTCATTCGTATATCATATTCGAAATGCAGAGTCTGCGTACTATATCATCAAAGACTCAATAGAAGCACATATTAACACTGCACGGAAATTCGAGACTTGAGTAAGAAGCCCCACTAGAGTGAGACCCATCAACAGAGTAATGACTGGGCTCTCATCGGAATACAGTGAAGAGGCCATCGCGCACTACAGCTGACCGCGGCATCTGATTTCTACGCCAAGACTGGCCGCGTTCCTGACCTCGCCCGGACTTCCGAGATACTCCAGCATAGCGGAAATGAAGACGTGCTCCGGGATTCGATACTGAATCGTGTGGAGTGATATCGTCCACAGTGCTCGGATCGTAACGGTATTTATGCAGGGACCCTGGAGATATCGATGCTTTCTCGCCCTTGACTCGATCGACAGGTGGGTGTTGACTTTTAAACCTCTTCGAACGTCTTTCGAGTTGCATGGCTGGCTTGCCTTCCGGACCGCAATCGCTATTGAGATCATCCCACATGGTGAGGTGGGAAGTTCGGGCGGAGCGGTCTGGGCTATCGACGACCTCTGTCGCCTCTTCCCAGGATGAGCCGATGACGGAATAAGTTGGATGCTCCGCGAAAGAGACTTTCCTGGGGTTACTCTCTGTCTTCCGAGGTCGCTTCACTGAGACATGAGTAACAGGAGACGCTGGCGGGCTCGAGAACGAAGTCATCGACTCGAGACTATTTGCTTTATGCATAGGCACTCTCATATAATCGTCCATACACCCTTTGGTGAAGCTCATCTCGCCAATGCTTGCCGCCTCCATCCCGCTGAAGGCTGATGAGGCATTCCGTTCTTCAATAGATGCATTTCGCAGGCGTTTCTTCATGTTCCCATTCCGAGCTATGCTATCTACTGTATGAGAGCTTACAGGAGACTGTAGGGAAACGCTTGGACTGGACGACACGACACTTCCGGGGAGGTCCCAAGCGGCAGTGTCGGTTTTTCGTGTGACCCTTGATGAGCGCGACGACACTTCGCCAGTCCCACACAGCCCTCCTCTAATTCTTCCCGGTGAAGGACAAGTGCTCACCCGAAATTTAAGGGCCTTGCTTTTCGATCCTTGTGGTAACTGTGGTTTCGACGACTTCTTCTCATTCGAGCTGCTGATCAACGAGCCGAAGTCTGACACCATAGCGCGGACCCGCTCCGCTTTCCGATCAGCTTCCTCATGACTTGAGAAACTGTGGATATTCCCGGACAAAGTTAGGCCACCATTCGACCCTTGAAGGTTTCGAGCGAAGATCCTCGAGTTATAACTCGAGGCCGAGTGATTCGGCTTGCTGAGTCCGTCACCAAAGAAAAGACTGGATTCGCCGCAGTCCGCTCTCCCCTGACTTCCCGACGGACGCGGGACAGTATCGCTGAAGTCATCCCAGTCCTGGTCATCGCTGTCATTACCAGCTGACCGGGGTAGCTCTTCCCTGACAGCCTGACCCCGAACAGCACGATACGGCTCGTCAGACCTTGCGAGGCTTGTGAAACTGAAGGAGTCCTTGCGGTCGCCCTCGTGAGCAAGACTGTTATCCTGGATGGCACTTCTGTAGAAAGTATTTGAGCAACCAGGGTCTTCCATGCTCGCTGGGTCGTCGAAGCTGAATGAGTCATACTCACGTGTGGACTCTTTTTCCAACCGCATCCCAGCGAGGTTGCCGTACGTGAGTCCACTTGTAACATCCTCAATAGGGAAGGGATCAGGCCGGGACCGTTCCCGCCACCGGGGCTCATCAAAAACACCCGAGTGGAATTCACTGTGATTAGAAGTGTCGTCATCATTGGGCACGTCTTCAGCAGCTAATTCAACCTCGAAAGGTTCGTCCCCGCTTAGACAGCCTTCCCCTTGTCGGTAAACTCGCTGTGACTCTTGTGATAGTTGATGTCTGCCGTCTATGTCTTCCTCTAGTGAGTCCTCGTCTAGTTTTTCCTCTACGGTGGCTAGCACGCGCTTGATGGTTCCTACAACCGAGTCCACGAAGGAATCTCGGATAGGAACAGCTAGAGGCGTGACCTTCTCGAGCATGCTGAGCTTGAGTGTGAGTTCAGTCCGACCTGGAATCGATAATGCCCCCTTGTCTTAGATCATACTTAAGCTACCATCCAACGCGAGTTTGGATCCATCACTCAAGCCGTAGCCAAGCTCCTCCAGGCACATGCTCATAGCGAGAGAGGCATCGCCCATCGACGAGGATTTGGACCGACTAGACACGAGAGGGATGATGACGTAGAGCCTCTGTACTGTCTTTGCCATCAGCCCGAGCGCTCCAAGGACAGAATCCCACTCCTTGGAAGAGTGCGGGTTCAGAATGGCGATGGATGTCCCACGCGCCTAGAGGGCAGGAGATGCTTCGACACAGAGTTAGATGCGGCAACGTACAAGGTCTACAACAGCACTGACCCCAGATGGTAGAGCACTGTTGAGCGGCCTGCAGTCGATTTGGCCGGCCCTGAGAGCTCGCTCGAGCTCATCGGAACCAGACGACCTGAGTCGTACCTGAGCTCTATAAAGTTGCTTCACCTGGTCAAATGGTCTTCCGAACGTGAGAAGAGCTACGTGAACAGGGGTGAGAGAAACCATGAGTAAGCCCTCGGTACAGCTCTCTGAACGTCGAGAGTCCTTACCGAAGTCCCCTCCGATAATGAAGATGAAGAAAGATCACTATGGTGACGGATATGGAACTTGATGAGGTCGAACACAACCTAGTTACTCCGGAGATGCCGATGGATACCATCAGCATTCCTTACAGGATTGGAATTCTCCACGTCAAGGAGGGCCTCGAAGCCGACAACCGTGACGTCGTTCCTGCTTAGCAGGGCGCACAGTTTCGGATCTCGTGCATAGCACACTGAGCCGTCCTCGGGAATTACTGCTTCTGGAAGGATGCTCCGTTGCGGTACAAAGCAAAGAACCTTACGGCCGGCTGAAACGGTATCTGCCGAGGAGATCTTCATCGACTGCAAAGAGAGAGGCCGACCGACCATGTGCTTCCGCAGTGTTCAAGACACTGATGTCCTCCCCTATCATTCCTAACAGTTTTCGAGTAACCTTCTCATAGTTCTCAGCCAGAGCTGACGATGACACGACAACTGCAAGGGTGTTGATCTACAAGAGGCCCCTTCGTGAGGACTGACGGAGAGCCCTCGGCGGACCTGTCTAGATCCAGTGAGGAGATCTCTGAGGCTCCGGAGGATGGGGCATTGAGCAAGGACACTTTTAGACGTCTCGAGCCGCGAGAGGAGCTCCAGTAGAGCCCCACCGAGGGTGTCGGCATCAGCGTTGTGGTACCTAAAAGTAAACAACGTTGCGAGATCTAGAGGTATTGATCGTCACTCATTGGGAACAGCTCTCGCTGCCATCAGCAATCCTACACTGCCATAACTAGCGAAGGCCTCGAGGAGTGTGATGAGCACTATGCACCTCAACGCTAGCGAACACCTGTCTTAGAGTCATCAACAGTAGCATCTTTGTTAGATCAGCTACAACTGCTGAGCACTTCGTTGCGGCCTTCTAGAGAGTGACTGTCGCCATACCTGCTCAGCCTCAGCACGAGACACCTGCGACTCCGGCACGCCCAAGCCGTGCCTGGTGGGGTAAATCCAATCGAAGGAAACATTAGGGGCTGTTACATCCCACAGAAACGTCGCAGTCTCTCCCACTGCTTAGAAAGGAAATTACGGAGGGTCTTTATAGCACTAGGCTCGTCCGTTACTCGGATTATCTAACCATAGCTACGATTCCAGCACTATCAATGGCAGAGCACCAGGGAGGTCCTCTAGTGGGAGAGGTCGTCCGTCCCGCGCACCTTTGCGGCCCTCCTGATGGTGATTGACTTCCTCACGCACACACAGTCCGCATCGCGTTCCCATCCTGTCGTGGCGGGTCTGCTGGGTCGGTCGGATTTGAAGGATACTAGCCCCGGAGGGGGAGTGCTCGGTGTCTCCGAAGTGCAGTTTTCCTCCTCGAAAATGTCCTCATCCTGTTCTTGTGTGGGTGTCAGCTTCGTCACCGGTGCACCGCAACTCTCAGTGTCAACCAAGGTGATGGCCTCCACTGCCGATGTCATGAGGAGCTCCCACGATTGAATGCACAAATTCAATCGTGGGAGCTCTGAAACCGAACGCCCTCGCGTCCATCTCCTCAACAACTCAGTCTGTGCCGCATCGGTCAAGGTGCTGACTTCCCGCTCAACAAGTAATGGCGTAAAGGGAGCGGTTGACGGCGTGTGGTCGAGCCAATCGAGAGGTGGCAGCTCTGGTGGCTGTGGGATACCCAAGGCGGTCCCACTCCAGGAGCTGTCCCAAAGCATGGCCTGTTCCCACATTCCGCGACGAATGGCCGATAGCTCCCGTCGGAAGATACGTTTCACAGCATCCAAAGCATCATGGGGCTCGCTGATCTCATCGTCTTTTAGAGCGACGCTGTCCAGATCTATAGATAGCTCATTAGGCATCAGTGAGTTGAGTCCGCAATCGATGGTGGACCAGGCCAGGCCGATGGGGCCGAACACAGGACGTTCGGACCGACATGCCACTTGTTGCCGGGTAGGCACTTTCGATGTCCATGATGGTATCTCTAGAGAGAGGTTGCACTCTTGTGAAAAACGAGTGAGTAAGTCATGAAGATCGTCACTATTCTCGGCGGACTTTTCTTCCAGGCTGAACGCCTGAACGGAGACGATCTACACTACACTAGATCTAGATTCTCTCACCATGAGCGTAGCTCTTGAGGTATCCTGCTTGGGAAGCCATGGGACACTCTCTATTTCCAAGGGCAGCGGTATCGGGTCCAGCTCAAACTCTTCAACGATGAGGCTAGCAGGTTGCCTCCTCGTAAAGGCATGGACGCTCAAGTCAGCACTGGTAGCCACAGGCGACGGATCTTCCAAAGTCAGGGCCTCTTGAGGCGGCACAAGTCGTGGCCGAACCGGCCCTATCGAGTCCAGCCAGTCCACTTCCAATAGATCGGCGAGGCTCGGCACCTCCGGTGCGGATAAATGGCATATCAGCTCGAGATCATGATCAACGTTTATTGATGGTTGACGGGCTGAGGGATTTTCCTGATACCGCACCTCTGGGAACTCGACGTGAACAGGAGCGATATCCTCCATGATGAGCGGTCGAACTGCTCTCAGTGCATCACGGAATTCCTCAGAGGCTGCATCGGCCAGTATCGTTCTAGGCAGTAGTGGAGTCCCGAAACTCGCCACTACGGCCGTTCTCGGTGATATAAGGGAGTCAGCGGCGCGACAGGTCTCTGGCCGAGAGTTGGTGAGTGTCTTCAAGGCAGAAGGCATCTCCATCGGAATCGTGTCGACCAAGGCATCTTTCTCTCTCCGCCCAGCCAGGAGTGACCTCAACGACGCCTGACTGGAGGTACTGGGGTATAACAATGTTCTTGTGGTAGAGGACTCACGTGTGCGTGCGAGGGCCCACCCTAGCCCAGCGCTCTAGATAGTCGACCTTAGCAGTGTCAGAGGTCATTCTCCGGAGAGGAAGGTAGTGAGCTTCAGTCGAGTCGTCCTTCCCCGGATCGTGGGCTCTCCAAGACCACTCAGTCTCCTTTGCTAAACTCTAGCTCGGCCCGTTGGTGTATTCAATGAAACAATTTCATAATGGGATTGACAGTCTCTCCACTATCATCGTGAGCTCCTCCTTCAAGATCGAGTGTGAGAAGTTTGCTGCACCTACAGCGACTACGATGTAGGAGGGATCTCATCATGCCACTCACCTATTCTCGAACACAGATGCCAGGCCACGAAGAGGCGCTGTTGTGGTATGAGTCGACCAAAGATAGTCACTAGACGGGAGGATCCTACTGATCACTGGTGGCACTTTGGAGAGGACCTCACAATTCTGTGACGTATATCGTGGCAGGCGAGGCGAGCCCTGAAGACAACACTCAATTTACCTAAGCCCTTGAGCCCTTACCTCAAGGCTGACCAAACAGACCGACATCTGATGGTCGCTATCATCATCTACGCAAGACCTCTTGAACATGTCCATCACCGGCTTTGTAGTATGCGTATGCAACAGAAGGCTAAGGACCTAAGCAGCCATACTCCTTCCCCCCATGGACACCAGAGTCCCACCTGTCCATCTCTGTATATCTTCGGCAGCAGCCAAGACACTCTAGCGTGGGGAGCGAGGGTGTAAGCAGTAGGCGTTGGAGCAGGAACACGTACACCTTCGGGAAGACGGCCTCATCCATGCATGCTAATCATCATCTTCTCACCACGGAACTTCAACACACTAGTGAGGCCTCTGCTCTTTCGCCTTGATCGCTTCACTTCAACGTAGAATAGGTGGGAGTCCGGCTCTAGCGGATCCTCGACTGAGTCACTCCAACACACCCTCAAAATCTCGCTAGCCTTTGACCGTGTCGGCAAAGTGTGTTGCTCGTCCTTATGAAATCCAGCTATGTATAGCAGCGACCAACCAGAGACAAGCTACCCATCGTGCGTCTACAGGCGAGTCGAAAGTATCCACACTCTGCGAGGTGATCGTCTTATTGTTCTCGTCCACTCGTGCGCATGCGTACGACCTGAACAATTGGCCTCTTGAGTGCAACCCCTATCATTCAAGCACCTTCTGCTGATTTCAAGAGTCTGATCGAAAACGCGCAAGGATTCGCCACAGAGGATCCTCTGGGAGCTCATTAGATCTATCAATATGGCTCCAATGTCAGCCGCGCATTTCCGCAGGGTCATCTGCGAGTCGCTACTAGTAGCTGCAGCCTCGCCGAACTGAGCCAACGCTACTGAGCTGATCGCACCAGTGTATGCCCACTAATCTTATCGTGTCTTTCAGGTGATCCAAATTCTTACCGCATCGCCATGTCGAGCTCACGTGCACAGCCTGTACGAACTGTAAGACCTATGATAACCATAATCATATTAGAACGACAAAACGGAGAAATGCTGTCCTAGGGAGGGAGGCAACATACCCTCTCCTTCTCGTCCAACTCCACATCATCAATCTCCCCCAGACGTTCACCCATGCGCTGCCATCGCACGAGCTGGGTTATTAGAGGCAGAGCCACACCTGACAGACCAGACGATTCCTATGGATCACTGCATCAGGCAGACTCTGTCGGTGGATAAGGTTCAGTAACACACCCTTGCTGTCGGACTCACAGCCAATAGCATAAGACACTTGTGAGGAGGCCTCATCAAGCAAAGCTGTCAAATGTTCCCCTGCAGTCAGGAGCTGATCGATAGCCCAGTGGAGCCCTCCATGACCGTCACCTGACCATCACTATAGACTAACCAAGAGTAGGATCAGCTGGTCATCACCCAATATAGCAGCATAATGATCATTATGTGCCATAAGCCTAATGCTATGTGCAGAGGCCATCAACGTGTCCACTGCTGGTTCTAGCTGATGAGCACATATAACACTGAACATATCCAGAGCCTGATGACAACAACAAGAACAGCTATGTGACATTACTATCGTTGTTTACCTCAGTAAGCTCTCTCTGTAACTTTTGTAATGCTTGTGTTTGATAGCCAATAGTCTCCAAAGCCCTCGAAAGAGCTGGGCTAGGCACACCCAGTCCATGGAAGCATCTAATTAGCTCTTCTGTTACACTTCGGGCGACGACATCATCTTCCTGATAAAAACCCCAGCTGGCCAATCACCGTGTGAGAGAAGGCCTGGTCAAAGACGTATGCTTCTGACTGCCTCTTTTCCCTCCTCCTCCATCTCCGCCTTAAGTGGGCCGACCAGTTTCTTCATGGCCGCCGCCGCGCTCTTCAACGGCCCGTGAAGGAGGATATTGATACCATCCACAATGTACCGCTGTAACTGCTGAAGGCCCAACACCAACTTTGCGTAATCCGCCTGATCGGGACAACCAGTGACCAGACCAAGCCGACCGCAACGAGCAACCCACTAATCCTCGAGAGCCCAAGACCTGGCTCGTGTCCACAAATACAATCTCCTGCGCATTGGTCTCTGCGTAGGTACGCAAGACTGCTATCGTGTTCAAGTCGGATGATACCCTCAGTAGCGGACCATAGACACACCCTCCTCCCTCTAGCAAAGACGGGGATGGTCTGAATACGAATGATGATCCTGATGGGTTCGATAACAGCTTGGTACATTGTCCAGCTGAGAACAGGAGCAAGGCCTTCCGCATGAACGCTCAGATGACCTTCCTCAGAAAGTGTTACCAAGTACCCTACTTCTGATGATGACCGCTTCTCGGAAATTCCGGATAACTACAAGAGCCGAATACACGAAGAAGGCAGATAGCCGGCGGCGTCCGCGACCACTAATTAAGTCTTACAACAGTGTCAGCCTTCTCAAGAGCTCTTCTGTTGGCATCTCGAACATCATCAAGATTTCGAATATGCGGCCAGTTAATCAAAGAGCAGTGGTCTCCATTCAACGACTCGTCAACCACGAACGGGGTGAGCACCTACGTGAAGCAATGTCCGCTGTGGACACCAGCGAACTCGTGAATCGAGAGAGACAGCATCCTGTATGTTTCTCACCCATTCCATGGCAACGACCTTAGCACTGTGTGCTCGTCTGAGCACAGCCATTGTGGTGTCAGCTCTAGTATTCTTCTGCTCAACATAGACCGATGCTATATCGCCATTCTCGTCGCCGACACCTAGCAACTGCTCTGGATGCGACAAGGATCTGACCTCCCGAGATTGTCCGAGTTACGGTACGCCTGGCCCTACCGTGGAGACCACGCCACTGCTGAGGGGTGCCAGTCTGCACTGTGACCCTTATAGCTGAAGAGACATGATGGCGTCTTCTCGTCGCTCAATAATCTCCATACTTTTACTGACCGACCTGAGCCCATCAGAGAAGCCTAATACAGAGCCCGATGCGACGTAGAAGGAGTTTTGGAATATACGTTTGGTTTCCTCGGCTGAGCTCAGGAGTTTCCTCACTGGTTATGAAAGTTCGTATACGAATTCCGGTAGGAGTGTGCCGAGAAAAAAACCGAGAAAATCTCCAAAAAAATCCTCAGAATTTCACTAACACGTAGTTGATCATGTACATATTTCCCCCACACTGCATAGAAGCGTGAGTGGATGATGCAGCACCTTCCTGTGGGGTGACATGCATCGTGGCTAACAGGTCCATATGGTCGCACCACACAAGAGGTCCCACTAGGCCTTCGGCAGGCCTTTCAGAAAATATCGACAACGGCTCATCTGCGAGGTGTGCCGAGTCTTGTTCCGGTACCAGGAGAGGATCACTGCCGAGTTCATTCCGCATGGGCGAGTGAAAAGACACCGATTATAATAATGATTAGTATCACACACTGCGTGCCAACCATCCGTCCAACGATACTCCCAGCCAGTCACAATGAAGGTCCAAATCCTGTAGCGTCAGGAAGCACAGCCGAGGAGCACTACAGATGCTGTAGTAGAGAAGAATTGACAACACGGACCAGTTGATAACGCAGAGGAAAACTCATAGAGCTGAGCAAGCACATAATTCTCATCATCACGATAGCTGTTTGCTAGCGTCTACAATATTTTGTCCAAGCATTTTTCGAGGATCTGACCAACAGCATCGAGCCCAGGAACCATCCAGAGGCCCATGACAATGCTGCCTATAATAATCCTCATGGACGACCGGCAGTTGTGGAGAGGAATACGACATCTGGCGTAGAGACAACATCACCATACACGCACCAGAAGCGAGTAGACCTGCAGTCAAGACTGTGCCTCCATGAGCGGCCATAATTCACCACAACTGCGAATGAGAAAGCTTCCATTGAACGATTCTCTTCCGTCATGACAACGCTGCCTACCTTTGTGACGCTCACACGAGGAGTACGTCTTGTGCGGCTACCAAGCCTTGAAGGAATTCCGCGAGACGAGCTGGCAAATTTTTGCTGCAACGTCCAATACGATTGGTCAACAACTATTAATGCAACCCTCACATTTCTCTTAGGATGGAAAAGTTCCCGTGTTCGAAAGAGTAACATCATCGTTCTTTGCAAGGTAGTGTACATAAAATTCATTTCTTAACTCGAATTCGCTTCCTCGACGCCGTAGAGCGAACCTCGGCCAAATCTGATGAAAAAACCGCAAAATCCGAAAAAAGCCCTCCACCACCGCATGCACCACTGAACACTCCAAAACCGGAAAACTATGATTCCATCCAAGAGCACGTCATCCCATGGCCCCGAAGGGCGCATTGACCACTACTACCTCCGAACTCGCTGTTGACCCTTCCCCCATGCACTGAAGAGACAAGGCGAATACTATAAGGATGAACAACTTGAGAGTCCTACTGGAGCTAAGACTATCCTCAAGATCACGCAGTCGGCTCTGACACTGGAATATATGATAATGTAAAGTACCTAGAATGAGGCCATCAACACAATCATAGGAATCCTGACGCGCGCGCAGTATGAAGATTCTATAAAATCCTTACGGTAATCCGTTTCGGCCATAGACGACTGCATCTGCAACAAAGCTATCTGCTGGTCCACGAACGCCTCCATTTCCGAGAGGTACTCGAACTCCTCACGATCATCGAACTGACATAACCTCAAACTCACGAGCTCGGGGGAGGAGGGCTACCTCTTGGAAAAACGGAGTAATAGCATCAAATGACGCCTTGATAGCATCCGTCATCCAAGACGGTCGGTCCGTTAGAGCCACTGGTATCTTATGCTCCTCCCTGTGCCGTTGTACCTTGCCAGTAAGAGGACATCCATGATACCCATCGTTGACTTGTGATTTCCCCCTCAACTCGTGACAATAGAGTCTCACCCGTTTTACGTGAAGTGCTAAAAACGCGATGTTCGCGATATGCGGTAGTCGTGAAATGTGTCTTCTACTAGAGTTTTTAATATCACGGGCGAAACTCCAATGTTGGAATATATTTTTTGATTTCCTCAGCTGAGCTCAGAAGTTCACACACGATTTCGGGCAGAAGTGTGCACTAACCAGCAAGGCTCTCCCGAAATTTCCTCAAAATTTCCAGACTGTCACTAATACATGTAGACTGCATGTATTAGTGACAATCTGGAAATTTTGAGGGGAAATATTCACATGGTCAACTACATGATGTAGTTGACCATGTGCATATTTTCCCACATCGACTCGTTGAAACGTTTTAACTCACGCATATCCCTCGTTATTACAGCATCATAAAACCATGCATGAGGGTGTTCAAAGTGCAGTTCCATGTAGGCCTCATTGACCACAGCGTACCGCTTCTCGTCCTCACTGGAGGACTCTACTGGTACCACTGGGCTCGCTCCGGGATTGATACCGGTCGTATTGGCGTCGTGATGCAACCTAGCAAATCGTGCCGGAATTTCTTCCTATCAGCAACGTTTATACGATGGAGTTTCACCCGTGATATGAAAAACATAAGTTAAAAGCACATTCCACATTCCCCATATTTCACCCAGAGCATTACGCCATTTAACGTCATGAGGGTGATACTCCAATGATAGCGACGACTTCCTACTAATGTGAAGCCTACTTGAGCTTATGTGTTGTCTGGACTGGGGCCTCACTGGAGTCCACGAAGTGTATGGTAATGACAATATCGAATTCCCCCCAGCCCTCCTCAGTGACCATGAATGGTGTACTCTCGACCGTCCTTTGAGGCACAGAGAAGGTCTCGTGCAATTGGAAGTCAACTCGCTTGATGATGTATCTACGAGTTACCCATGGAGCGGTATGCGAAGAAGGCCAGTATCACGATAAATCCTCCAATGGCGCCCCAAGTTGACCACTCCTGACCTGAAAGGTATGTTGAGGGAAGCGTGGTATCTAGGACGTACCAGTGCATGCCATCGGTAGAGATTCTCATCCTTCTTGAAGGCGTACGTGCCTACCACTATTGGTACGTCTAGAGTGGCTCCAATCAGCCGATGTGCCATTGGTGATGCTAATGTCAAAACAACTGAGTCTTTAATGCACCGCGAGTGAGGCGGTCCATGAGCAAACAACGTTTGGGAAATGCATCGCTCCGTCGGGAAATGAGCATTTGGATAATTGCAAGCCGCAATTGAGGCGGGAAAATTCCATGGCCGACGAAATCCCTCGGCAGCTTTCTCTACACATGATCTTGCTGCTCTGAGCGCAACTCCTATTTCCTCAACGTTGGATAAACCATGAAGTCCGCTCACCTGGTGAAGTCTTCTCGCCACTCCTGGAGTACGAAGCCATGCGGAACGGAACACAGTTGGCTTCGTTGGATTTTATCTTATTATCGATATCTGTGCAACTTTGGCAGTTACTCACGTAATTATCTCTTCTAATATAAGCTCAGTAGCAGTGTCTAGTAGTGATTATCGGGCCTTACCACACCTTCCCTGCATCCAATCTCGGTTTGACGAGTCGAAACGTATCAAAGATTGCAAGACCCAAAGTGAGGTTGGCTCAACTGATGCCATGTGAAAGGTTCTCTTGTGTGGTGCAGATCCAGAAAGACCTTTGTCTGTGCCTCATCCTATGTTGAGTCTAGTGACTGTTCTGGAATTCTATAAGTAACTGATAACCTCCTCGGTCAGTTGAGCTATACCATGCGGTGTTGGGCCGTGACCACAGTGGTCGTTGCCATTATCTACTCTTTACCGCTGGCCCTCGGGGGTCCCTCCAATACCTTTTCCTACCCCTCTACCTTTTATGTATCTACGCTGGCCTACAGCCCTTCCAGCCCTAAGGTCCGCTGGCTCACCTGTACAGACCCTCACGAACCCGCTTACAGGCCCTATCAACTCTCACAGTTATCTTACAGCCGTCGGAGTCCCTCATCTCAACGCCCAGTATTGCCCTTTCCCTTCATATGCACCTGCCGGAGTTCGGATGTGCTGGCGACCTGAGTAAGGAACTCTCACCCAGGGTCCTCGGAGTTGCCTTTCCTCAGGGACAGAGGAGAAATGTGAAGCCCACTATGAGGATATTGCAGTGGCTGGGATCTGTGCTGCTGGAGCTAACCCTTACCACAAACTCCTCATTGCTACTACTCTATCTGGTGCTGATCCCCCACCGGAGTTTTCTCCCTTTATTTATTGTGATACGGACCCAGCCTCACAGACTGAGGTAAGGTCTCGGCTCGATGGTTGTGTGGAGGAATATGTGTTCGCTTTTCTCAAAGTAGAGGTGTACCGGAACATATAAGAATTTTCCAAAATTTTCCTAGAATTTTCAGATTGTCACCAACACATGTAGTTGACCATGTGCATATTCTCCCATACTGTACACTACTGTTAACCGCAACGCTCAGCTGATAATGGTAAAACGTACTGCTGGTCACTTCAGGGTAGGGTTGTCCTAGAGATCGTGAACCTCCCATCGGACCGGCAGACTGAATTCAACGTGAGTACCGCAGAACCGAACGCCTCTACCTGTTGCTGCATGAGCTCAGCTCTGCTGCTTCTACCTCCCTTTGGCATCTCCGCTGAACAACCCAGCGCTAACAGTGAGAGTAGCAACCTCTAGTGGTGGGGACAAGGTGGCGGTCCAAGCCATAAAGAACTCTCCTGAGATAGACCGAGGCAATTACTGGCAGCTACTACGAGTACTACCAGGTCGGCGTGACGCGAGTTGTCGAATGACTTGGTGCAGATCCAGTTCGACCCTCCGACTTCTCTGTACTATACTCGGATAACGGTGACACTGAGGGCGGCAGAGAGCTTGGGGAAGCAGGCCAAGATTGTGGTGTGGGTGTTCGAGCTTGTTCATCTATAGCACAGCTAGAGGGTCAGATACCTGGACGAGATTACTCGTAATCCTCCCGAGACGAGCAGCACGTTATTGTTCACAACTCCTGGAGATGACTGGACTCTATTCGAGTGACCGCCCTGCGCTCATGTGTTGAGACTCATCTGGCTAGGTACTTCGCGGGCTGGAATCAGACGCAGCGAGCCCTGACGTTTTCTCTACGGGATGGTCTCACTTTGGAGTCCGGCCGGGAGGTAGTATGGTGGAGTAGCAGAAGGTGTGGTATGTGGGAGGGCAGGTGTCCTTCACTTCGCAGCCAGGGGAGTTCGTGCTTCCTGAGGAGGTCGAGGCTAACCATGCAGGGTTCATGGTCGAGGCTAGGAGTAGCGATGATTTGGATGAGATCATTCCCAAGACCAGCGTCTTCCAATCTGACTATGTGACCCTTCCGTCCCAGCGGGGCCCGAGGGTGGTCGATTACAGGTCCCTGGAGTCCGCAAGTTCGGAGTGTCCGAGCTGAACTACTCCAGTGTGGAGCCTTACGCTGTCGTTGATGTCGTGCTTACGTTCACGTGCAGTAGACCTCTATTTGAGGGTGAGGCTAGCCTGTATTTGTCTCCGTCCCTCTGGTCTGGGTGTATGACAGGTGATATCATATATCTCACTCTACCAGGCTTCCAGAGTTCAATGACGACAGTGCCGTTATTTGGACCGTAGTTGCCTTGGAGAGTACCTTGCTATGCTTGTATCAGGTTGGCGGACTATTTTCGAGGCTCAATCGGACGCTTCCATCTCCCCTCGAATGAGCTTCAGCTGGAGGTCAATCGACGCATGTAGCCTCAGTATACGGTTCAGAGATTCACGTAGCCTTAAAAGATAACCATGGCGGAAATGTTTCTTATGTGATGACATTCACATGTTACTAGCCATGTGGAGAATTCAAAATGAGTTCCTCCCGGGGACAATATGGATTCCTGAAAGACCCCCTGATACGGTTGTATTGCTTAGTGATAGATATTTCACTGGTATAGGCGCGGTCCTGTTGAATGCTACTGCCACACCAGAAGAGGAGACCCCGATCAGCCTAGGGATGCGCAATCTTAAGCTACCGGGCGCACTGTGAGTGACGGACCGAGGCGTGTCTGGAGACGTAGAGTAGGTATGAGAACGACCCGTCCCTGCAGCTCCGCAACAGCGATCAGATGTCCACTCCGCAGAGCGTTCAGAAATCTCCTCGAGTGGGCGAGGTTAGTAAAGGCTTACAGTTGGTCTTGGTAGAAGTTGGTTGGGCCTGGTAGCCCCTGTTGGACTCTGGTGAGGTTAAGACCTTCCTGGTGTCGGAGCTCTCTTTCTCCCCGGCGGAAGCAAATAACCCGTCTACTGTGAGTAGAGGTTAGTCGCCGGCGAGAGTATCTTAGGTTGATCAGATCATGATACGGATGAGGCCCAGTATCATCCTGTATCAACGAAACACAGTTGTACTTAGCATGTATGGCTTCAGACTCACGAGTAGGCCCTCTCAGTGCATGTCCACGCGATGTGCTAGAGTCCTCGGGGGTAGCTCGCTCAGAAATGCCATAACTTTGGAAGTGTGCACGAGATTTTGTGAAGGCCTTTCAGGGGGAGGTTTGAGTACTATCACGTCACTACCGTTGGAAAACACGGAAGAATCGGTGAAGTTTAGAGACAGTATGGTAGAGTGGAACGCAGTGAACTGGACTTTGACATTTACTGTTGCGGATGGGAAGATAATCCCGAATGATGTGGACACTGTGGTAAAGCTAATCTGGCGTCCGCGCTTGTTATAGTAGCCGCATTAAGGTGGTGATACCGGGGGTGACAGGCCTTAAGCTGCCGTCCAAGCTGTCGGAAGGAGACGGTCTCATCACGATAGAGGCTCTGGGGTGTTACATCAAGAGGGAGCCGGTCAAGGGTGTACCTGCTGTTGGTCCTCCCAAGTTGGTTCTGTCACGCGCCACGAAATTGCTATGCAGGACTAGGGTGTAGATACATGACGGAGTCGAAGTTATTGTTCGAGCCTGCGCAGCCCAACGCTCAGAGCAGGCTGGAGGTCGAGTTTACTGCTAACTC